CTTCCATTTTTAACAAAAAAAAAAAAAAAAAAGAAGGGAATCATATAATAAAATTTGTGTGGCTATTATACCTATCACATGGTGTGGAAATTAACCTGTGAACCAAGCTTACAACAAGTATTTGGTCAACATTGTTTAAGGTTTATATATTCATACATTTTGTACGGTGGGAAAAATAAATATGGAATCTTAGGCTATTGTTTTCTTAGCAGTGCAAAGTTTCTGAAGTTTCATTGCTGTAGATACCAGCATTGACTTTTGCCAAACGACCACAAAGTCCATATTCTTCTTTTTTTATTTTTCATTTCTTTTGCAGCGAGGCCGACACGCTAAGAAGCTAGCTGATTGCTGGTAGTTATATTACTGACCCAGAAAGTCAAGCATAGGAATGACTTGGAATGCTCCAGCGGCTCCAAAAGGCTCCATGCCATGATGCTAAATTAAGATGTTGGAGTTGGTTGAGTTGTGACAAACAAAACAATAAAAGGGTCTGTTTGAATTAGCTATTTTTTAGAGTATTTATGAAATATTTTATTGTATTAATGTATATGAAAATTTTTTTATTGTAGATGTTTTTCGTGATATTTTTTGAGATGTTTTTGGAAAATATTTTGAAACATTTTTAAAATTTAAAATTTTTGTGACATTTTTAAAAAAATTACCACCACTACCACTACCTCCTCCCTCTCTCTCTTTCTCCTCCTCCCCTTCTCCCCCATCTTTTTTCTCCTCCCATCTTCCTCCTCCATTTCTTTCCTCCCCTTCTTCCTTTCCCTTCCCTTCCTTTAGTCGAGCCCAGATTTAGGGGGGAAGGGGAAGGGAGAATGGGAGGGAGAGGAAATAGGAAAATGGAGTGGATGGTGACGATGGTGGGTAGGGATGGTGGTGGTGGGTGGTGGTGATCGATGGAAGAAGAAAATAGTGCATATTTTATTTTTTTTGTATATTTAGAGTTATTTTTAATATATCTATGGATGTGGTGTTTTTAAAATTATTTTTTATTATATATTATTATACTATTGTATATGAAAAACTTGTGTATTATTGTACCATTGAATTTTTAGAAGTTGACTTGTAGAAAATTTCACGTCCCTTTGTCACTCTCTTTTGGCCCATAACATGAATACCAACCGATCATTTGTATATATACCAACACATCAGATGTATATATGGTTTTTTAGAAGTTGACTTGTGGAAAATTTCACGTCCCTTTGTCACTCTCTTTTGGCCCACGACATGAATTCCAACCAATCAGATGTATATATGGCTCCACCAGGTATTAGAAAAAAAAAGAAAAAAAATGTAAATACAGTGGAGAATCTCTTACTACACTGTTCCATTTAGGTACAGCTCCAATCCCACAAAGGCTAGAGGGCTGTGCCTAAAAACGGGTTTCTCTTTGGTGGTAATTAACATCTCAAGTTTCACAATTACGAGCGTAGTCTAATAATATGAGTCTCGTTTGTCCCTCAATTTGTGAGGTACTTAATTATTTTGTGTCTCTTAATTTTGTAACACTCTTTTGGGTCGATTATTTTATTAAATAAATAGCAAAATGACAATAGAAGCTACAATTTCTCTGCCCCAAGTTATCCTTTACCAACATATTTTATTTCTCCCTAACAAATATCAAACCGATCTAGGGAACCAGCTTTGGAAGAGCCAGAGATGAAAAGACCGATGATATTGCTGAGAACAAAAATGCCACAATTAGAAGGCCGGCAGCAGCATTTGCCTTGTTGAGAAAATCTGAGGCGTCCGTGCCCTTCAGTAGTAAGCGATTGAAATCGACTGTGATCCCAAACCCTGCTGCAGCGCCCGTGGCCAACATGTAGGAAATAACCTGCTCAAAACCAAAGGGAATGTCTAACAAATAGTATCATTTCCCTTAAATTAAACCACATTTTCCAAATAGCTGCATATTCGCTCTTGGCATAAGCAATTTATGTACTACGAGCCATAGTCAGTGACAAAGTAAAATCTCTTTTGATTGACAAAAAAAAAAAAAATAGAGTACATAAAACTCTTATCCACAACTAGAATAATCCAAGGTTAAGATAGAAAGCATGTTTTTCCTTAAACCAAAAAAAAAATTTTTTTTGTTGAAGTCACTAGCAGCAAATTACTTAGTTTTCATATAATCCTCGTTAATAATCAAACCATTATCAAATACAGGTTCAATCTCAGTCGATACTGTATTAACGTCCATTAATTAATTCAATAACATACCATCTGCAATCATTAATTGTCGTTCAATTTTTCTCCCCATACATACAATTCTCTCGGATACTCCACGATTCCGTATAGAAGGTTTCATGCAAGATACGAGACATACCTTGTCACCATAAAAATCCAGATAACACAAAGCAGCACCACCAAATCGTTTGCCGGTGCTCACTTGGAATATTGCGAAAGCGGTTTGTAGGAGGGTGTAGGTGATTCCGATAACAGTTGTAGACAGCATGTAACTGTGGATGAATAATAAAATACTTAAGTAGTCCACAACAATAAACTCCCATTAAAGATGAAGTATCAAGTATCTGATCAGGTCATTGAAATCTTGATTATGCGTAGTTGTAGTCAAAGCAGGCTTATATATAATGCAGCTTAGTTACCGGTAAGCATAGAGGTCACTGAAGTCGACTTTTATTTCGAGGCCGGAGTCATCGACGTATGTGACGGTGTCGATGGCGGTGATAATCAGCGAGATGAGAAGGAAAACAAATGTAAGAAGCCGCAAAACAAGTGCAATTACTGGTAAACCTGCCGTGCACGTAACTGTAAATGGTGCAGGCCTGGCCGACGATTGAGGAGGGTTGGCCGTGGGAGAGGTCGGAGACGCTGTGTTGGTGGATGGTGGAGGCGGAGGTGTTGATGGCGGAGGCGAGCCTGCGGATGACGGAGGCTCCATCGATCTTGCTGTCCCGAGTCTTTCTTGACATGAATAATTATGACTGGTCCGTGCAGTTTTATACTACTATTGCTACTTGTTGATATACAGCCGGTTCAGGTCTGAATGTCTGTTACTGATAAAGCATAATGCCGTGTATGTATCTATAATTTTTTTTGTCTGAAGCGATCTTTCTTGATAAATTTTTAGCCCTGGAAACAAGACGATTAGCCTGCAATTAATATTAATCAACAAGCACACCAGCGTAGGGCGTTCACTGATATGTACGTTGTAATTTCAGCCATTTAAGTTTTTAACTTAACTACATGGTACTTTCCCAGCCTTCCACCATCTTGAGTGTTAGCGTGTTGAAACAATCAGAATGTTTAGTTTTTTCTTTTGTCCTGCCAGAAAAATTACTTCATACTACATTCAAAATCTAAGTTGTGTATGTTTCATCTTGCGCAGTCCTCATCGCGCAGTTAGACATGGGGACTATTAAAAGTAAGGAATATAGGAAATGACAGAATTGAAGTGGTAACTTTGAAACAGCCTTAACTACTATTTTTTTTTTTTAATTTATCGTTTTTCTGTTTCGTTATCCAAATATTTCAAGAATTTTTATTTCACTTTGGTGAATATTCAAAATTCTAATTGAAGAATGAGAGAGTTGTCCATAATCTTACAATTACATTGTCGATCATACTAGTAGAATCGTAAAAGTAAATAAACAGAGCTCAAACACTAACTCAACAAAACGCCATTATCTTGTATGTATATCGTACAGTTGAGTAAAGATGAGGAAATGCAAACAATTGTGCAATATCTTGAGACTTTACTGGCAGAGACAAACAGTTGTTGGCAACCTCCGTAATCTTTTTTGGATTACATGACAGAAGTATTCAATTCATCAGGATGCCTGTAGTGACAGAACTATCGGCTTTCAAACCCCTAATTTATTTAGGGAGAGCTTTCATACTGCATATAAAGCTAAAGTTTTTATCATAATAAGTTAACAACATCCTTGGCCCCGTTACAAAAGCTAAAACTAAAAAGAAAGCATTCTGATTTACTTTCCATCTTCACTTCAATAACTAATTGATGGAGGTAAGAACCAAACAAAAGGAATAGCAATCAGAATTGCTCTTCTGACATTATAAGTCCCGTTTCTTGAGTTCTTGAAGATTTGCAATTAAGTCTCTTAAATGGGTACTTTCGTCTCCAATTTACATAAACAGGCATGTTGTACTCTTCCCAGGATGCATGTTAGTCAAGACGTAGAATTCTCCATGGTTTGGTAAGCCAAGCATTTGAATGCGAGGGCTTAAATTTGGGATGATTGTGAACAATGAACCTGTATATATAGTTAGGGAAGTGTATTAATAGGTCCAAATTATGTCTTTCCTTCTAGTTTGAAAGCAGAAAAATGATAATTAATTGTTAACTAGGAACTAATAGGCCTCCTCAAGTAAATTGACCAATTATTATTATACTTGTAGCATTTCTCACGAAATAGTGATTATAAGTTTCCTCTCCATTTTTTTTTTTTAACGAAGAGGATTAAGAGTGAATAATCACCCATCTTTAATTTGTTCACTCGAACCCAGGCCTATACATAGGTCATAGGCAAAGCATTTTACCAAATTTCATCTAGACATTACAAACAACTTGACAGTAATAACCTGCAACTATTAGAAGTGGGGTCCTCGTTTGGAACAAAAACATAAACATGTGGTAAACAAGTAAAATGGAATGGTAAGCATGATGGTATATACCAGAATTATCTTACACGAAATCTTGTCTCAGGATTTCAGGCAAGAAAATTTTCTTGCATTTTATTTAACGTACTAGAAATAGCTTAAAAAGATGAGAAGTTATCTTCTCTGGTACAAACGCGACTCACCTAATGGAATAACATAAATAAGGTGATTACTATCCGAGATTTATTTTTCTAAACTAAACAACAGATTTAGAGGAAAGAAAAGAAGACCAAAGAGTGAACAAAGAGCTTTCCATGTGCCGGGTGTGTATGGTTGATTTGACCCGGAGAATCCATCTTCAAATGTGGGAGTCTTGGGAACTATATTAACCTCTCTTTGGAAGAGCTAAATTAAGATGAAAAAACTGATGATACAGCTGAGAACACAAATCCTACTAAGAAAATAGATGCTGCCACAATTCCTTTATTAAGAAAATCTGTGAGGGACGACGAGTCATTTCCTAGTGCCCGGTTCAAATCAACGGAGAGGCCAAACCCTGCAGCAGCACCCGTGGCAAGCAAGTAGGATGTAACCTGCTCAAGCCCAAAAGAATAAACATGACATTTCGTGTAAGCAAAGTTAAATGACCTAATAAATATACACTGAGGTTACATGTCTAACATTGTATCGAGCAGAATTGCATTACAAAAAACAACATAAATACCTTGTCGGCATAAAAGTCGAGCAAATAGAAGCCCGCACCACCAGGTCGATTTCCAGTGCTCACTTTAAAGATATCGAAAGCGGATTGTATGAGAGTGAAGGCAATTCCAACAACAGCAGAAGCCACCAAGTAACTGCAATTTTAGAATTAGCGGACGTGAATTTCAATTCCCACGCATGCATGCATGATAGCCAAATAAATCATCATGAGATTGATCGATGCATGCAAGTGCAGCAGACTCCAATTTCAATCACGCAGCAGCCCAAGCATGCATGCACTTGAACTTACCGGTACGCATAAAAATCATTGAACCTGATTTGGTATTCATAGCCTTCATCATCAACCGTAGTAACAGTGTTGAGTAACAGTGTTGATGATGATGAGAACTAGCGGGATGAGGAGGCAAATCAACCGTAAAATGTCTCGCTACAAGTCCCAGTACTGATAAAATCAGGCCTTTGGATGGTACGGGAGAAGATGTGGCATTGACCGGTGAAGGGGTCATTTTCCTCACTTACGAATGCTTAATGTTCTTATTTATTGCACTACACAAATAGACTTATGGCCTGTCAGTCTTCTCGCTCGCTCTCAGTTATGAATGTTTGATGCTCTCCTGTTTCATAATTTAACAGCTTTTCTTCCTTCAGTTTATACAGGATAGTAGACTATTCTCGGTTAGTTCAGCCATTTAAGTCCTAGTGGATGTCGCTTCCGAAGGACTTTGGGTATCATGTGGGGCTGGACAAGTTCTGGAAGTTCACACATTGTAGAGCAGTGATAACACGGCGTTAGCCAGTCTCACGACGAAGTTAAAAAGATAAAAAAAGGAAAGCATATAAAAACTTCAAAAAATTTCACTCAATCCGGCCTTATTGAAATCTGCTGTAGTTTGATTGCAACGTCAATTAGATCAGTAGTCAGTCGGAGTATTCAATTAAGCTGGATGGACATGCTAAAGATGAGTTTTGGCTTGCTTTGGTTTCATACATGATTTTTTTTTTTTTGGGAGGGTGGTTCATACTTAAGCTCAAAAGTGAAACAAGAACCCAAAAATCCGTCTCCTTCGAAAATCTACGTAAAGTTATGCCAATTTTCTTTTGATTTTTTTTTTCTCATATTGGGTTTTGCCGACCTCTTTTAAAGTGTTCAATTTGGTCTTGGGTTAACCTACTTACCATTTAATCCCGGTAATCCTAGCAGTATCAGAACTGATTGTATTTTGATTGTCAAATTCCTGAATCTAAGATGGGAAAACTCCAAAATATAACTTCGTTGCCTTTAATCTGTGGGGAGAAGGCCGGCACTGTACAGCCGGTGTACGCTTCCAAGCTCCAACTATCAAAATACGGAGTACTAAATTCTTTTTTTTTTTTTTTTTTTTTTTTGAAGCTAAGTGCTGTTAAAATTTCTTGATCTTAGGAAAATAGATACGTGGATAATAATAACTTTGCATTTGGCCCATTTAAGTTCACAATTAGGCCCATTCCAGACAAAGATTTAGTCTCATTTTGCGAACCGTTTTTCACTTCACATTGGTTTGGTTGGTGACGATGCGGAATTCTTTTAAGGCCCATAGACTGAGTGGAAACAACAGGTATAACCGTGTAGGCAACTAAAATTACCTAGAATGGATTAAAAGTTTGATTGGAAAACAATTCCACGAAGCCATTTTTAGGCATACAGGTTACCAAATAATTTGGAGAAATGATGGAAAGCAAGGCTAATGTCAAAAGTAACAAAAGCCTTTGTTTCCGGAGCTATGAATTGAATGATACGAAGGAAGAGGTAATTAGATTCTGTGATAGATTCCTAGCAAGGTGAATTCCAAGTCATAGTTGAAATTCATTGCATAATGGTTGAAATCTATAATATAAACGAACTGGCAAATTTATATATTTTTTTTTTAAGAAAAAAATTTAGGGGGTCCTGAAACATTAATCATGATGATTGACGAAAGAGGAATAGGGAAAAATCGTGTTGTACGTGAAAGTGACGTCCTAGGTGTAGTGATTAATTGGGGCGCTAGGCATGGAAAGACAAAGACCACCATTAGCTTTTGGGCATGATACATCCACAAAGCGGCGACCATGTAAGTGCTTGATCCGTGATTTAGAAATTAATAAATTCGATTGTTGGTTTTATCTTCTTTCACCACATTACATTTAAATAAATAAAATTGAAAAAAAAAAAAGAAGAAGTCTTACTACGTTAAGTTCCTTAAGTATATATATATTTTTTCCCATTCGTCGTCCGTTGCCAACTTTTAATAAACACCCTTCCTAAAGCACAATTGTCTGGTCATCCATCTTAATTAACGAACAACTCTATCTTTCTCGACTTTAGCGGAGCCGAGACGTCACTGTTCCGTTCAGTTTAGTTTTCTCGATTGAGGGTTTGCCTTCTTTTGAGCATAGGTTTGTGGAAAACCCAATCTCTCTCTCTCTGTCCCTCTCCCTCACTTTAGGAAAAGAAAAGCAACAGGTTTTCAAGACCAGTCAAAATTTCTACATCTATGACCGCATAATAAGTTAAGAGAGCATGAGGGTGCTGGTTTGGCGGCATTAGAAGAAGATAAAAAGAACTTTAAACGAAAACGCCATGCAAAATTAGTGCTGGATTACGCAAGCTTCCATTTTGCTTTAATTTGTTGCTGTTGAATTAGATGGAAGCCGAAAGACCATGCAATCCAATTAATCAAGCAACAGTATGGGACATTACCCCTCGAGACGAGAGTTGAGACAGACGATGATTGAAAAGCCAAGAACATCGCCCCACCGTTGATGCCTGACGCAGCATTCTTCTGTGGATTACGCGACAAAAGCAATGATTATCTTAACCGTACTATAAACAATGACCTTGAAGTGATTCATCATTTCCTCGAAATGTTACTGCTCTTTCGCGGTTCTCATGAATGATGAGCTTGGAATTTTTCAGGGTCAAGGAATTTCGTTTCTTGTTTCCAATTTGCTGTTGCTGACCGATTTGAACTACCATCAAAATCTGTGCCAACCTGCTATGAATTACTGAAATATATACCAAAATCTATTTTCTAGTTTTTCAGTCGGGTTAATTGTATGAAATTAATCAAGTTCCTGAACTTTTTAATCAAGTTTGTATTGATTCTTCAACTAGTCAAATTTGTCGACCCACTCGACAGATTACGTTCAACATCCATGAATAATTAATATTATCAGAAATTAAATTCACTGTGGTTTAGCACAATTTTAACATCTTGAGTTGAGATTAAGTGTAAAAAACGAGGGCATTGCATTTCCATACTTGGAAGTTGAAACTGTAAAGTGCCACGACATAGTCTTAGGATTTTCAAGGTAAGAAAGTGAAATTTGCCCCAACGGGATGTACAACGCCCGGATTGGTGAGATGCAAAATTTTGTTTGTTAGTTAAATGCGGCGAATTTTACTATAAACTTTCAATACTCAAATCGAGACTAGTACCACACCATCCTAATTAAATTCTACTGCATGTTTTGTTAGCAGTATGCGTAGACAAATCTTAAGGGGCATAGAGAATTAGACGGTCACAGACTTAATAAGCTTCTAAATCATTAATCATGCGCTTCAACTGGCTCGTTAATTAGCTGAGGCCTGTGAGGTAGATCCCAGAAGAAGAGCATATATACACAAGCTGGAATCTAGAGAAGAAGGAGGAGTGGGTGGTGGGGTGTTGGCATGATTGTATTAGACTCAGCTGGAAGTGTAGATGGGGAAAAAGAAAACTAACAAGAACTTCTCAAAAGGCTGCCACAGAAACAGAGGGATCCTCTCACGCCAACTTATATGGACATCAACTGTTGTAACGCGGTGGTGGACACAAAAACAAGAGCATTTTTGAGATCCAAATAGTACTAGTAATATTTTGATGGCATCGATAATTTGTGGATAAAATACAACAGTACAATAAGGGTGACCGACCATAAAAGAAAAGAAAAAGGAACCTCATCACTGTTGGATTGCTTACATCCCACACACAGACACACAGTGTCGCTTTATTGACGGGTGATTTTATAGGTTGAACCTGAATTTGCTTTATTCTCATGTCTACCTATAAGGGATCTTGGGCACTGTAAAAGCAAATCCAGACCCAGATTCCTTACTCTTATCAAAACCAGCTGCTGATCCCCACCCCCCCCCCCTCCCTCTCTTCCTGACCACCAGTACTCTATTTTGTTTAATACACATATCAGGAGTAGTGTTCATGTTATAAAAGCTGCATAAATGGTAATTGTTCATTCAATTACATGAGCAAACGAGGCAAACAAAATCCGTTTTGGTATTATATATGCACAAAGCTCTTACTCCAGTACTATGGAACTTTAGAGGCCGTATTTTAGTTTTGCTCTAGTTAAGTTTAAATTTTGGTATCAAATGCATACTAGTAAAATAGTCCTTAATTCCTAGTAAGTTAATTATACCATATCCTATGTACTCAAAACATGTTTTTTTTCCCCCTTCTCGATTCTCAATTAATTATATGAAAAAGTTGTTTCCAGTCATTTGGTCTAAATGACTAGACGTTGATGTTGATTCATACCTCAGTTTCTCCAAGCAAGCCTACAATTCGAGAATGCTTTCATTTCCCCGTCATGGTTTTGCGTGAGAATTTGGCGTTTTTCTCTTTCTTTTGTCTGCCCGTCCTGCTAACTACCAACCTACGTATCTCACTCACTCCAGTCTCCAGAAACAACAAACAAGTACGATTCACTAACCCTCTCTAGATGCCTCACTGCCTCATCATAATTGCAAGATCATTGCTTTGCAAACTGTCTCTCTCTCTCTCTCTAAATTTCAAAGCATGGGCACGAACTTAAATAAATGTCTGCTCAGCAGTAATCTTGGAAGGGTGAAAGGTGACTACCTCAATTTATGACAACTCCAAAATATATACACGAGAAATAGGGGTATCTGGGAATTTGGGATTACCATATTGGTGATTAAAGAAACTTGGTACCGTGAACCATGACTCATTTCAGCTTTCTGGCTTCCATATTTGTGAATTTAAGCATGGCCGGTTTCATGAAACAGCGTTCATGGCCAGCAAACTACTTCTAGAATGCAACTTCTGCAGTGCTCTCCACTGAAAGAGATTCTCAGACTTCCAGCGTTGGATTGAGTTTCTTAAATCTTAGTTAACTTGCTCCTGCCTCCTGGTCACTATGTTAGTGAAAGAAGAAAGTTGCAAGGTATGGGGGAGTCAAGCAACATGCATGAATTTAACCAATTAGTCCCGTAGCTACTATATTCAGCCAAACATCCAGGGCTTCCAGTGGACAAGTACACAATCACAAAATACGTCAAAATGGAAACCATAAGATGATTTATCTTGTCAAAGTAGCAAATGGCCTCTTGTTGACTGAAGAAAAAGCTTTACATTTCGTCAAGAGGCTTCGTATGTCTCTCTTTGACTCGTGATCTTGTCCAAGCACCGACTCCAAAAATTTGTTCACAGCAAAAGATTGTAAATTGAAGTCACAAGCCTAGAATGCA